CTTAGGCTAATAAAAGCAAGGGTTGGTGCTTCTCCATGCAAATATGGAGTATTGGTAAGAGAATATTATTTTTACCGTCGGCATCAAAAGTTAGCAGTCGGCTAGGTCTCACATAATAACAGGGTTTATCATGGTTAATAAAATCTTTGCAGCTCTGTTTAACGTCTGGGTTTCGTAATCATGCATCAAGAAAACAATCCGTCCCGGAATCAAAATCTGTTTGAAGTGAAAGGGAAAAATAAGCGAAAAATGAGTAACAGAAAGTACAGCAAAAATTTACGTTAAGCTGCAAAGCTATTGCCAAGCTGATGAAAGAATTACTTTCTAAAGTTCAAAAAGCTCAACGAAAAAAGTTTCGTTTCAGAAAAAATATTACATTTACGTTTGCCCTATTTTTAAACAACAGACTGGTTATGAGTTTCAGAAACAAAATAAAAAAATTGCGCAAACTGTCATATCTGACCTAGTGAGCAGGGGTCGCATTAAGTATCTAAAATGAACTATCTTTAGAAATTCATTTCTCAGCGAGCGGTTGGTACTGAAGCTCGAACGGATTACTCTACTGTCAAGCAGAGTATTAAGATTTGCGCATTGGGCAAATGAGTGGGAACAGCAACCGAGTACGGACGAATTCAACAACGGAAATCGCATTCTTGTTCCTTAGCTGTGAACTGACACCGTTTTTTGAGGAGCACAAAAAATTATTTAAGTCTTACCGAAGAACTATTTTGGAACGCTTAAAGAATTCCTCCATTTGCGACCTTGTCACATCAGACTGTATGATATATTCATGCGCCTTATTCCACCTACAACATATCATTTGAATCACTAATAAAAAAACGTGTCATATTTTTAACTTTGCGTTTTTTTACCTACACAAAGTAGGCGCTCACCATTCCTCCATGTACGGAATCTTCACTTCAAGCGGCAAACTGTAGTCAAACTCGATGGGTCTGAAATGGTCGCGCAACTGGCTCAACTGAAATGAAAAAAAGGTACTAGTTTAAGAAAGTTAAGATCTCAAAAATGATATATACATATCTTAAATACTGAGTCAGACATTGAACCGTGTTATTATGAGACAGTAATCTCAAGGTAAACATAGCAATGACGGTGGTAGCCAGTTTCTGCGGATGTATACAATCCCCTTCCCTTCCGCTACAAGTCTATTAATTTTTACTGAACGAGATGACATCGTACAATCAGATTAGATGCATATAATAGCTTGCTAATTAATCAAGCTCGTCTCTGCTACATGGTAACGAGGACAAGACGATTATAGCACGATGTCAGAGTGGGCAAGACATCGGCTGGAATATCGAAGGTGTCGAGTTAAAATCCAGATAAAGGAAAATCTTTTCCTTAAAAGCAAATTCGCTAAGACAAAAAATCAGCTGCGTTGCTTTAGTGCAGCAAGTCGAGAAAAGGACAATGAAAATGGGGTCCCTAGCATGTGAACAACGGGGACAGCATGACATCAAAATGTTGTCATAGCAGAATGGAGGTGTACGGCCATGTAATGCGATGCCAATGCCCCTTGTGGCTGCAATTCGCCTTGACCTACTTCACAGTAGGCTATCCATTGTAATATTCGTGTAACCCTACAGATTCTTATTATTCCTTATGTCGTCTCATAACAGAACCATATTTTTCACTACTGTGGTGTTTCAGGAAAAAATCAGTAATCACAGAAAATGGTTTTAACTGTTGAACTGTTGTCAGCAGATGCGTTCGGATATTCATCATTGTTGTCTAAGCAAACAAGTGCCTGTGTTCTTTTAAGAAAATAACCCACAGCTGCACACGCATTCCAAATTGACATAAAATGTAAGAACAACACATACAGGCAAGATCGTTTGCAAAGATGGTCGAATATGGCGTTTGTCGATGCAACAACCAATGACTAATATACATCCGACATGAGGTGATCTGGTTAGGCAACACAAATTCGAGCTAGTTTATTGTTGAATGAAATGACGGGGGTGAAATGAAACGTGTGTGTGCGGGGTGTGTCTGTGCGGCGGAGGGGGTGGGGTTAGTAGCGTAACGAACTAGTAGTTTGCTGCGCAGTATAGAGGTATTATAGCAAACCCTATGAACAGCGTAAATTTTCTTTTTAAACCGCAAATTCCCTTGAGCACGGAATTCATCTCACTGTAATTCGATACAACCAGCCGAAAAATGCGTAGCAGGTGGATGAATTGCAAATAATAGAAGCAGAACGGCGCTCAAGCTCAAGCGTGGTCAAGCGAAAGCGTGTCAGATATAAGGCAATGATGTCCGATGCAAAGGCTCAGAGGGCTGTAATTCGCCTTTACACATTTTATACCAACTGGATTCAATATGATAATCAGCACTAAAACCCTCTTGTTATGAATTTTTCCATGAAGCGATCTGTAACATTTTGGCACCGACCGATCAGAGTCAGCCCGCAGTCCGATGAGCACCAGATGAGTGTACATAACTGGAAGCAGTCCTACTGCACCAGCTGGTTAAGTAATCCCCCCATATTACGCAACAATAGAACGCTCTCTATGAAAATAATATGAAGATATCATAAATTTCCACGTCACTGATTCTAAACACAAGAACAGACTGCAAATGGTAGTCTTCTATATTACTGCAAGCAGTTTAGCTAAACTACACGGACATAACCAGTGTTTGACGGAACAAGTTGTTTGTCCTGAGAATTAGCAGTGTGGCGCGGCCGAAACTATCGGCAGTTATAGTAGACTTCCATCTGTCTGTTTCCTACTGTCCAGAACTGTTGAAGTTGTAATTTACTGAAGAAGGCATAGAACTGAAACGAGTTTAAGAAAAAAATATGAAAAACTGTCACTTCTGAGGACCGGTAAGACGTAGTCACACGATGCGCTTGCGTCGAGTAGCCTAGGAGATCGCTTAAGCAAGTCACGGCTCCACCATGGTATTTAAGCACCGACAGTGCATTGGCGCAAAACAACACGATTTTAAGCCGATAGCGCGAATAAGGCGTTTTAGAAAATCACAAACCAGATAACAGTACATAAAATTTTTAACTCTACGCATTCTATAGACATACTGACATTTCTAACCCAACTTAATCCGCTCTCAGAGTAAAAAGTGGTTTTACACAGCATCATTTTCGTCCGATTAATGATGCCGCGCTGGTCGTTGATTTAAAGCAATGTTTTGGCGTTTTCCATCCATCGGCATCAAGGTCGCGTGCAGCTCGTAGCGCGGATTACTATCGCCTACTTGATTTCACGGATGAGATATTGTTTTTTCTGCACGACAAATTTCATCTTCTCTCAAGATATTGTGTGCCGATGGATCATGGCATTTTGTACATCAGATGACCTTTTCACATTTCGCTTTGATAACCTTAAAATAATTTTTGTTTGTTTCCGTTATCGGCTTATTTGCTTGAGGCGCTATTTAGGCATCAACGTTGTTCAAATTGATGAGGTTTCATTTGTCTCCCGTTTTCGTATCCTCAATGGTATTGCCAATTTTGTCAATGTACAGTGTAACACATAAACAGGGGAGCTTGCACACCAAATCTTGCATTTGCTCCTTTGATCTATTGATATTCGGATAGCTGAGATGACTACAAAACATTGCAGAGGGTTTAAATACAAAGTTTAGACTTGCTTTCAACGTAACACGTCGCAATTTTTCGTTCAGCTAACGAACGTATGGCAAAGTGATATAGATTTTGCACTCGGTGAACAGTGAGAGATAGATTGTCCTGAGAGGTATGTCAGACCTTCGTTAAGCGTCTTCAGCGGATAAATATTATTTTTTCAAGGTCAGTCTGATGTTAGTTTTTTGAAAAAAATTACCCCTGGTGAGGTAAATTTTCCGTCCTCTTAGAAAAAGCGCACTAACAAAGTTTTTTTAAACTCTTTCCGAATGGTACGAGGGGTCATGCAGATATCGATCCGTATATGTATCTTATTGCAATACACACTTGTCGAACAACCATGCTATTGGTATCTCACTATCACGACCAACAATGGTAAAATGCCACTCTCTTCCTTCCCAGAATGAAGAAGACGACGTCTGAAATGAGAACTAAGATTACTGAAATGTTCCAATAATGGTGTTTCGTCCAGATTTTTTAACAGGGCAAAGATGTCGTCTACAAACCTTTTCAAGAAAGTTTAATGCAACTCTTTGTTCCGTGCCGTAAAGACTAGCTTACAACAATTTTCCATAAACAAATCCGTCAGAGCCGCGAACATCAAAGATCCTATTCGCGATATAACTGACCGCTTAATAACCGAATAACAGTTACTAACAACAATCATAACATTCTCCTGTCATTTCTCCGGTTTCATACGGCCTAGCGCGCCGTTCCCTTGCTTCTAATAGCCTAGGGGATTGTTTAAGCAGACTATGGCTCCATGGTATTTTAGTACATGTAGTGCATGAGCACAAAACATAGCCACTTGTTGGGTCGAAAAAACACATGTTCAAACATCAATTACTATTCCTCTAGCGCTAGGCTTATATACCAGAAATAAACAACCGGTACTATGAGTTTGCACCCAATGCACCATGGAACCGTGGCTTGCTTAAACGGTCTCCTAGGCTATTACAAGCAAGGACCCGGCGCGCTACGTTGTTCGAATCGGCAGAAATGACAGAATAATGTTCTCGTTAACGGTACAGCGGTACTAGCAGTCTGCTAGCAAATCATAATACAAGTTATAATAATAACAGTTATTCGAAATAACTTAAT